TAGAGGGAAAAGAAAAGAAGGAAAAAGTGGTTAAAGAAAGAAGGAAGAAAAAGGGGGGGGACAAAACAAAACACAAAAACAAAGACAAAAAGAGAAAAAAAGAAAGAGAAAAGAGTAGAGGGGGTAAAGCAAGAGTATTTTCACTTCCTTCTTCTCTTCTTCCCCTTCCCTTTCTCCTTCTCTTTTCCTCTTAACCTTCTTAAGAAGAAGGATGAAGAAGGATGAAGAAGGATCTCTTCATCCTTCTTCCTCTCCTTCGTCTCCTCCTCCTCTTCCCCTTCCTTTTCTCCTCTTTTCCTCTTCCTTTTGTCCTTCTTCTCCTTCCTTCTTTTTTCTCCTCCTCCTCCTCTTCCCCATCTCTTTCAATTCTCTCTCTTACTCTTCATCTTCTCCTTCTCTTCCTCTTCTCTTTCTTTTTCTTCCTCTCCTCCTCCTATTTGGAACTCAATTCAGCTAACAGACTTTGAAAAGACACTGTTTAAAAACTCCACACAATACACAAGTTTTAACACAATTCCATGATCAAAAAATGAAAACCATGTATCATTGAAACATGCATGCACGACAGCACAACAGCTGTCAGCACCTACCTTATACACGAAGACTTATACACCCCACTCTATGGTACAGATATAGTATATCTAAGTAGAACAGTCTCCCTTATTGAAAATGGCAAAATCAAAACCTGCCTTTTGGGGAAGATGTTCACAATCTGAACATATTCAACAGGGCCGGGAAAATAATAATAATAATAATAATAATAATAATAATAATAATAATAATAATATAAGGAATATTACTGTAATATTGATTATAATATTTATTATATTATATTTTCTTTTAAATCTTTTTACTGCCTTGTATTGATGTATTTTCCCCTTTTTAAATTGGCTGGGGCTGTCTTGTGAGCTTTTACTTTGAGGCTTTTATATAACAGGCTTGAGACACTCTTGTAGTAAACAAAGTAACAAAGTTTATTTATAGCTTCTGGCTCCAACGCTTATGGTTACATTTGTTTGGTCTGTTACAGTCTTGAGTCTTACATTCAATATTATTCACTTGGTTAACTTTCCTATCAAACTTCAACTGTTTCACATCAACAACTATGTTACTTTTTCATACGCTCTTGACAGAATTATATTCCGCCTTAAACCACACTGGCACTTCTTTATTTTCCTTAAAACTTAAGCTCCATTTTCCTAACTGCTTTTCTCTCACAGAAGTTCCTAACTGTCCTTCGCAAACAGGAATCCCTAACTGACTTCTTCTGACTCTCTAACTGCCTATTTTTAAACTTAACTCCGCCCCTTTGGAATGTTCAGCTCTCTTCCCCCCAACTGCCATTCTGGCTCAGTGGCCCTTTCAAACCCTGGCCTTCACTCATCTGCATACGACCAATCGGCTGCACGTATGCAAATTTATCTTGCCTCTACTGTTGCTACCCTATTTCTGCCAATTCTGCCACATTGCAGTATAGAGCTATACAACAAAAATTTAACATAGATCAACACATTCGCTACACCCACTACTATCTCCCCAAGGGGACTCGGGGTGGCTTACATGAGGCCAAGCCCAACAAAACACATCAATAAAAACAACAAAGCAAGCAAGCAAGCTAAACAATACAAATATCATAAATAACATATAAACAGTAACACACAAGAGATTTAAAACACTGTAGTTTTTGTTGATCATGGGAGTTCTGTAGGCTGTGCTTGTATGCTTTTAAGTCACGTACAATTCATCTCTAGATCTGTTTAAAGTTGAAAGTTGTTCTAGTCCCAGCATGAAAGGAGATGGTCCCAAGGCAATAGTCATTTGGAGAAGGTGGCTTGGGATCATCTCCTTGTCATTTGGAATCATCTCCTACCACAGTGGTTCTCAACCTTTGACCTTGAGTTCTGGAATTGTAGTTCACCTACATCCAGAGAGCACTGTGGACTCAAACAACGATGGATCTGGACCAAACTTGACACAATACTCCATATGCTCAAATGTGAGCACTGGTGGAATTTGGGCAAAACAGACCTTGACATTTGGGAGTTGTAGTTACTGGGATTTATAGTTCACCTACAATCAAAGAGCACTACCAACGATGGAATTGAACCAAACTTGGCAGACAGATTGGTTGGTGGGCATTGACCTTGAGTTTGGGAGTTGTAGTTCTTCTACATCAGTGATGGGCAACCTTTTGAGTTTGGTGTGTCAAAATTTGCCAAAAACCTGAGCATAACTTGGGTGGGGTGTCACTTCGAGAGAAAAAACCATAATTTTGCAATATTTATAGTTTAAATAAGAAAAATGTATAATCCATGCTGAGATATGGAGTGAACAATGCTCAAATGTGCAGATGTTAAATTTGTAGAGTCTTTTACAAATTTAAGGATGGAATTAGATTGGCTCTTATAAGGTGTATTTCTCTATATGTGGCTGCGTGTCACCAAAAATAGCCATGCGTGTCAGTGCTGACACACGTGTCATAGGTTCACCATCATGGTTCTACATCCAGAGAGCACTGTAGACTCAAACAATGATGGATCTGGACCAAACTTGACATGAATATTTAACATGCCCAAATGTAAACACTGGTGGAGTTTGGGGGAAATAGACCTTGACATTTGGGAGTTGCAGTTGCTGGGATTTATTGTTTGCCTACAATCAAAGAGCATTCTGAACCCTACCAACGATTGAATTGGGACAAACATCCCACACAGAACCTCCATCATCAACAGAAAATACTATGTTTTCTGATGGTCTTTGGGGACCCCTCTGACACCCCCTTGCGACCCCTCCAGAAGTCTCGACCCCCAGGTTGAGAAACACTGTCCTACCATGACAGAAATAGGACAGGAGGAGATGGCCCCAAAGCACCATTCCCAAAAGACTATGACCTATGAGGGTCGGAGTTTGCCCATGCCTGATCTACACCATCATATAATGCAGTTTGAACTGCATCGTATAGCTCAGTGGTTCTCAACTTCTTTTTGACCAGGGACCACTCTCCAACATTAGTACCAAAAGGGTTACGAATCAGATTGTGGTCAACTTTAGATTCAGTTTGGTTATTTGGGGTGCTGATTGAGAAAATTGCATTGGATAGACCACATCGGGTCTAGTTTCTGATACAGAACATACGCCATCAAGTAGTCGGCATTTGCTCGCCCATAGAAAACCAGATTTAATAAGCCTTGGCACTATAAGGTTTCATGAGACCAGTTGCTCTCATTGCAACGGTGTAGTAACAGTGAGGCGGCGGACCATATTTTAGTTCTTGCGGACCACTGGTGGTCCACGAACCACAGGTTGGGAACCACTAGTATAGCTAGTGTAGACCCATACAATGCAGTTCTACCTGCATTATATGGGTCTACACTACACTGACCATGTAACTCAGTTCAAAATGCACTATGTGGCAGTGTAGATCCAGCTTTAGAGGTTCTTAGAGAAAACACTAGAAGTTTAGAGGTTTTTCCAGTGTGATTCTATGGACAACTTTTGATGGAAGTAAAGTTGTAGGACCTAGATTGCATCTACACTAATGGTTCTCAAGCTTCCTAATGCCGCAACCCCTTAATTCAGTTCCTCATGTTGTTTTGGCCCTCAACCATAACATTATTTTTGTTGCTACTTCAGAATTGTAATTTTGTTACTGTTATGAATCGTAATGTAAATCTCTGATGTGCAGGACGTATTTTCATTCACTGGGATTTGTAGTTCACTTGCAATCAAAGAGCATTCTGAACTCCACCAACCATGGAACTGAACCAATCTTGGCACACAGAACTCCAATGACCAACAAAAACTACTGGAAGGGTTTGGTGGGCATTGACCTTGAGTTTTGGAGTTGTAGTTCACCTACATCCAGAGAGCACCATAGACTCAAACAATGATAGATCTGTACCAAACTTGGCACAAATACTCAATAAGCCCAAATGTCAACACTGGTGGAGTTTGGGAATAATAGACCTTGGCATTTGGGGGTTGTAGTTGCTAGGATTTATAGTTCACCTACAATCAAAGCGCATTCTGAACCCCACCAATGATGGAACTGAACCAATCTTGTCACACAGAACTCCAATGACCAACAAAAACTACTGGAAGGGTTTGGTGGGCATTGACCTTGAGTTTTGGAGTTGTAGTTCACCTACATCCAGAGAGCACCGTAGACTCAAACAATGATAGATCTGTATCAAACTTGGCACAAATACTCAATAAGCCCAAATTTCAACACTGGTGGAGTTTGGGGAAAATAGACCTTGGCATTTAGGAGTTGTAATTGCTGGGATTTATAGTTCACCTACAATGAAAGAACATTCTGAACCCCACCAATGATGGAATTGGGCCAAACTTCCCATGGCCAACAGAAAATACTGTGTTTTCTGATGGTCTTTGGCAACCCCTCTGAAACCCCCTTCATGACTCCCCAAGGGCTCCTGTTTCCCAGGTTGCAAAATGCTGATCTACACTGTAGCATGAATGCAATTTGGCACCAATTTATCTATCATAGCTCAATGCTATGGAATGCCGGGAGTTGTCGTTTGGTGAGGCCCTAGCACTCTTGGGCTGAGAAGTCTAAAGACCTTGTAAAACGGCAACTCCCAGGATCACACAGCACTGAGCCATGTCGTATTACAGTGCCTTACTTCTACAGTGTAGAGTAGATGTTCCTCAAGCCACCTGGCATATATCTTGGTCTATGACTCTCACCATCCCAATCCAGCATGAAGATGATGGGAAATGTAGTTGTCCCGCTCGGAAAGCAGTGTTTAGGTGCACCCAAATGCACCCCTTTTTGTGTTGATTCTCCTTTGCGTTGTGGATGGAGCTGAGGAATGAGGTCACACTGTCAAGGATACCCTTCTCTCTGTGGTGTGCAAGTGGAGACTTGTTTTTCCCCGGTGTGTGCAGAGAGGTGATATGTATGCACAGAGGTGGGGAGGGGGGGGGAACCAAAATATAAAGCCCAACCACAAGACCCCTCAAAGGTATTTCCCATTCCACACCAGTGCTGCCCCTTGATGACGCCTGTCCTAACAAGCCACTGGGTGAAGTTTTGCCAAAGCTTCATCTTCGGAGGCTGCTGGAGCTCCTTCCCGTGTCTCAAACTGTCTGACTTCTTTCCATCTCTCCACCACACCTTCCCTTCCCTCCTCCCCCTCTTCCCATTCCTCCAGTCCCAGTTCAATTTGCTCAACAGCAGCATGGATCAGAGCACTGACAGCCGAGCCGCTTCGTCGAGCCCGTATAGCTCGGAGCACGCCTCCAATGTCCCGACGCTCTCGCCTTACTCCCAGCCCAGTTCCACCTTCGACACCATGTCCCCGGCGCCTGTCATCCCCTCCAACACTGACTACCCGGGTCCACATCACTTCGAAGTCACCTTCCAGCAATCCAGCACCGCCAAATCTGCCACCTGGACGGTAAGTTGCATGTTGTTTTTGTTTTGGGGTTTTGCTCTTCTCAGATGGGTCAGCCCGGTAGGAAGTGGTTCCTCAATGAGTAGAACAGGAGATACAACCCAATCTGACCCTCAGTGATACCAGTTGATGCCCATGCATCTGTCCTCATTCTGGCATGGAAGGAGGTGGTCCCAAGGCACCTTCCCCAAAAGACCATGACCTTAAATGATATCAAATAGAAGATACAACACAATCCAACCCTTGGTGATACCAGCTGATGCCCATGCATCTACCCCCGTCGTGGCATGGAAGGAGATGGTCCCAAAACACTTTCCCCAGAAGACGATGACCTTAAATGATATCGAATAGGAGATATAACACAATCTGACCCTCGGTGATACCAGTTGACAACATTTAAGGCAATCGGCATTTGGAATCATATCCTACCATGTCAGAACTAGGACAGAAGGAGGTGGTCCCAAAGCACCTTCCCCAAAAGACGATGACCTTAAATGATATTGAACAGGAGATCCAACACAATCTGACCCTCAGTGATACCAGTTGATGCCCATGCATCTGTCCCCGTCCTGGCATGGAAGGAGATGGTCCCAAGGCACCTTCCTCAAAAGACCATGACCTTAAATGATATCAAATAGGAGATACAACACAATCCAAACCTTGGTGATACCACTTGATGCCCATACATATGTCCTCATTCTGACATGGAAGGAGGTGGTCCCAAGGCACCTTCCCCAAAAGACTATGACCTTAAATGATATCAAATAGAAGATACAACACAATCCAACCCTTGGTGATACCAGTCGACGCCCATACATCTGTACTTGTCCTGGCATGGAAGGAGATGGTCCCAAAACACTTTCCCCAGAAGATGATGACCTTAAATGATATTGAACAGGAGATACAACACAGTCTGACCCTCTGTGATACCAGTTGACAACATTTAAGGCAATCGTCATTTGGAATCATCTCCTACCATGTCAGAACTAGGACAGAAGGAGGTGGTCCCAAAGCACCTTCCCCAGAAGACAATGACCTTAAATGATATCGAACAGGAGATCCAACACAATCTGATACCATTTGATGCCCATGCATCTGTCCTCATCCTGGCATGGAAAGAGATGGTCCCAATTCCCCCCTTCCTAAAAGACTATGACCTTAAATGATATTTAACATGAGATACGACGCACTTTGACCCTTCATGCTTTCAGGAGATGTTCACAGTGACTCAATGAAAATTCTCCAGGGTTTCAGATCAATTTGTCCTAGTCCCAGCATGAAAGGAGATGGTCCCAAGACAATGGTCATTTGGAGAAGGTGGCTTGGGACCATCTCTTCTATGCCAGGACTAGCACACCATCTCAGTTGGCATTGTCAGATTAGGTTGTGTTTTTCTCTTTGACAACATTTAAGGCAATCAACATTTGGAATCATCTCCTACCATGTCAGAACTAGGACAGAAGTAGATGGTCCCAAAGCACCTTCCCCAAAAGGCTATGACCTTAAATGATATCGAACAGGAGATAGAATCCAATCTGACCCTTGGTGATACCAGTTGATGCCCATGCATCTGTCCTCACCTTGGCATGGAAGGAGATGGTCCCAAAGCACCTCCCCTAAAAGATTATGATCTTAAATGATCTCGAACAGGAGATACAACACAATTTGACCCTTGGTGCTTTCGGGTGATGCCCACAGTGACTCAATGAAAGTTCTCCAGGGTTTCAGACCAATCTGTCCTAGTCCCAGCATGAAAGGAGGTGGTCGCAAAGCAATGGTCATTTGGAGAAGGTGGCTTGGGACCATCTCCTCTATGTCAGGACTAGCACAAAGATCTCTGAAACCCTAGAGAACTTCCATCTCAGTTGGCATCGTCAGATTAGGTTGTGTTTTTCTCTTTGACAACATTTAAGGCAATCGTCATTTGGAATCATCTCCTACCATGTCAGAACTAGGACAGAAGGAGATAGTCCCAAAGCACCTTCCCCAAAAGACTATGACCTTAAATGATATCAAACAGGAGATACAACACAATTTGACCCTTCGTGCTTTAAGGTGATGTCTGCAGTGGCTCAATTAAAGTTATCCAGGGTTTCAGACCAATCTGTCCTACTCCCAGCATGACAGGAGATAGTTCCAAAGACACCTTCATCAAAGAATTATTACAGCAAATGCTATAGAACAGAAGATCTAACTCAACCTGACCCTTCCTGCTTTCTGTTGATGTTTACATTGACTGGCATCAATATCCTCTAGGGAACTGGTCCTCAATGGTCCCCCAGGCATTTGTTCTACAACTCTTAGAAATACCAACCAGTTTACCAGCTGTTAGGATTTCTGGGAGTTGAAGACCAAAACATCTAGGGACCCACAGGTCGGGAAGCACTGCTCTAGGGTTTCAGACCAACGTGTCCTCATCCTGGCATTGAAGGAGAAGGTCCCAAGGCAACTTCCCCAAATGACTATGGCCTTAAATGATATAGAAAAGAAGATTTCAAGTGATGCCCAATGGAAATTCTGCAGAGTTTTGGACCGAGCTGTCCTAGTTCTGGCATGGTAGGAGATGATTCCAAATGACAAATGCCTTAAATGTTATTGAAGAGAAAAACACAACCTAATCTGACGATACCAACTGAAACCCTCTAGGTTTCAGAGATCTTTGTCCTAGTCCTGGCATAGAGGAGATGGTTCCAAGCCACCTTCTGTTACTATTGCCTTTAATATTATAGAGCAGAAGATTCAACCAAAGCAGATCCTTGGCGTTTCCAGTTGACTACAGTCATCCCTCTACATTTGCTAGGCTTAGGGACACAGGAACCCACCAAAAATGAAAAATCATGAAGGTGTTGCTATTTAACTTAACTTCTCGCTAAGATCTTCCAGCAGGATTCAATGTCTGCTGGAAGCTGGACAGATCCACACCAGAGGAGCTAGGGATGGCTAGAGAGGCACTCTTCCGAGAAATCTCTACGTCCCCCAACATGAGGACGTTGACCATAGAATCATAATGGCGAACCCCAGAGATTCCCAGAAAGAGCATTTGTAATCTTGCAAATGTGGAGGGACGGCTGTAGTTCCTGACCTTTTGAAGGCTCTTCTGGGTTTCAGACAAGTTCTCCTCAAGCTTTCTCCTTTTCATTTTTGCTGGGTTCCTGTGTCCCTAATCCTAGCAAATGTAGAGGGATGACTGTAGTCAACTGGAAGCGCCAAGGATCAATTTTGGAGAAAGCAGCACCTTCAGCTTGCAAAGCATGGGCTCAGCAGTTGCGTGGTACTTCTAAAAAACAGTGAAATTCCACCACTGGTGGCTCTGAACAGAAGGCTAATCTGAGTAGGAGAACTGCAATAATTTATCCATATAGCTTGGTACCATCTACATTGGGCTGTCTATAGTTTCAGACTTTTAGGATGCATCCTCAGCACGCAAATATACGTCCTATGACAAATCAATATTCCACCTTCCCCACATATTGAGTGTCCATTTGTCCCTGCTGTGGATGTGGTGAGTTTGGAAGATGTCAAGGTATATCGTACCTTTCAGTACCATTTGGGAGATAGGTATTGGCCACTCTATTTTGCAAAATAGTTAAGTAACATCATTTCTGATTTATTCCAGTTCACTTGTTGTTTTATAAATTACTAGTGGTCCGCTGCCAAGCTTTGCTGTGGCCCAATCAGGTGATCTGTAAAAATAAAGTAATGAGAAAGTAATGGTTTCTAATATATGTAATTTTAATGCGTGTGGGTAAACAGTATTTATTGTTGTTTCTTTGCCTGTGTTGATGTGGAGATTGTCTGGTTTGCCTACTCTGGAACATGCACAGGGGCGGCTCGTCCATTACGCGAAGTAAGCAGTCGCACAACACTTTTTTTTTTTGCCGGGGGCGCAGAGGCACCTCTGTAAATGCCCCTCGACCGCCACTTGAGGAGCGCCCCCTCAGCTCACAACAGCCCTAGCAGTCCGGGGGGAGCCTCGGCTTTCTTGCCTCGCTGCCGGGCGATCCTCTTCCCAAAGGGGCCGGGCCCTTGGGTCTCGCCTAGCCCCTCTCGTTCCTGCTCCACCCGGCCACTGGGTGCGCGAGCAGAGCCGGCGCTCAATCGTTCTCCGCATTCGATCCCTTCCCCATGACCGGCTCCCTTTCCCGATCCCCCGGCGCTCCACCCACCTCCTCTCCTCTCCCCATTCCGTGGGTGGGCCAAGGGGCGGGGCCGCCACGCCTGGCCCGCTTCGGGTCCGGAGGCGTGTCTGAAGACCCCAGTATATGCACCAAAAGTCACCTCTTCTCCTGACTTTCTCTTCAGCCATTGGGACCAAGAGAGAGAGAGAGAGAGCCCCTCCGCCTGGAGGTATCTCCCACCTCCGCTCCCTCCTTTGTTTTTGCGCCTACCTTCAGGAAAGGTGGGCATCTCCACCGCTCTCTCTCTCTCTCTCTCTCTCGCTTGGTCCCAATGGCTGAGGAGAAAGTCAGGAGAAGAGGTGACTTTTGGTGCACACGCCAGGGTCTTCAGGCACGCCTCCGGATCCAAAGCGGGCCAGGCAAGGGAGCAAGTGCGGCAAGTGTAGTTACTGGGATGTATAGTTCACCTACAATCAAAGAGCATTCTGAACTCCACCAATGATGGAATTGAACCAAATATGGCACACAGAACTCCCACGATGAACAGAAAATATATATCAATGATTGGTTGGGGGGGTGGGGCGTCAAAATACTGTTTGCTTACCGTTGAAAATTACCTAGGGCCACCTCTGAACATGCAACATATCATTGTCCTTCTTTAGGGGTCCCTTTCAAATCTATGATACTATATCTCTCTGTGTGTGAATAATATATATCTATCTATATCTATGGCTGGATGGATCTTTGTCAGGAGGGCTTTGATTATATTTTCTTGCCCCGGTGAAGGGAGTTGGAATGGATGGCCTTAAGTGTTTTCTATTGGTCATGGGGGTTCTGTGTGGGAAGTTTGGCCCAATAATAATAGTAATAATAATCATCATCATC